CTGTAATTAATATGTTGCAACTTTTAATGTTGCAACTTACGTTGCAATTAGTTTTAACCTATATATGTTACAACTAACTTTAGCTTATGTTGCAACATTTGTAAATTTGAAATCAATTGCTATATCATCTTTAGTTGCAACTCAAAGTGTTGCAACTTAAGTTGCAACTAGTTAAAATTTTTAAAAATAATTATAGGAACCATCTTTAATTAATATAATAAAGTATTACCAATAAAATTATATTATAGATCATATAATTTATTATATCTTATGATTTGATTTTACTGATAATGTTTCAGTATAATAAATTTAATAAAATATTTAATAAAAAAGTTATAATATTATCTTATTATAGCAAATTACTTTTTTTCAAAATTACTATTTGCTATAAAAAACTTCAAATGTATTTAAAAAGTAATTGCATTTTTACTATTTAAATTTTAGTAAAAAATGTTTCTGAAATATTATATAATTGGTATCAAACCAAATATTTGAAGATTAATTTGTATTTAATCAAATAAATTTTTTTTGAATTTGATTAAATTAAATATGATGATTAATTTATATATAATTATTTCAAATTAGATATTTTGAATATCAAATCAAATTTTAAAATCTTAAATTTTTTTCCTAGAGTATTTTTTATTTTTTTTAAAAAGTTCTTTTTTTTTTCTTAAGATAAAATTTTTTTTAAAAATTTATTATTTTTTGAAATTCAAATATTGTATAAATATCTAAAAAAAAAAATTAATAAGTATCAAATTCTTCAAAATGCTAATATGTTATAATAGAAGTATCAGATTACAAAAGAAGGTATTTATACAATATATTCATAAAATACTAACGATATAACATCTGCTAAATTGTTTTTTGATAACATTCAAAAATTTTTTCTTAAGTTTAAATATAATCTCAAAAAATGACATTTAAATTCTGAGTATGCCTTTAATTTGACTACTATTTTTTTATTTCCTATTTATATACACATATTATTTGCTACCATGGGCTATTTTTTTGCATGTTCATTATACATGCACCAATCATACATTGACTGTATACCCTCATATTTTTATTCTGAATGTGACCTAATACTATTTACTATATGCTTTGATAAATTGTTTCTCACTTTACTTACCCATGATTGAATGCGCCTCACTTTAATGCAACTCAAATGACTATGCTCCGCAGTTACATTTTTACAGTCATTTTGGTGACGAATAATAATGCACTTGCCATATTATATAAAGATTATATTAATTATATAAAGGTTATTGAAACATTGCACCTTCAAATTTAATTCGATCCAAGAAATATTGCATACCCATAAGAAATTTATTGATTTTTAGTATTTATATTAATTTATTATGACTAAAGAAAGTTTTATTTAAACAATCATTCACATGATCAATGTTATTATAATAGATTCTATAACACATAAAGATCAAATAAACCTAGCTTATTGATAGAACATATTAATTATTTATTACAGTTCATTTTGTTCATTTTGCAATAATATAAAAGCTTGCTTATTTTTCGTCAATTTTGGCTAAAATTTCAGAATCACGGAAAAGTGCATATTCCTAATTTGAATCAGGAAGGTTAGTTTCTATCTGCAAAAAAAAAGGAAAGAAAGAAATAAAATCACGAATAAAAAGTTTCAAAATTACCTCGTCTCCTACTTTAATAGGATTACCTCCGTAAGTTGGGAGGAGTACACGATCTCCAGGCTTTACTTGATTCGGAACGTGTTTCCCGTCCTAATTCATTATACGATACATTTATAAAAATTACGCGTAAGAAAGACCATTTTTTTAAGATCTATTCAAAATACCTTGTCCAATGCCCCTTTACCAACGGAAATAACTTGCCCTTCATTTAAAGATTCTAATGATTTTTCAGGGATTAGAATACCGGCAGCAGTTTTCTAGTACAAAACATTTTAAATCAAGTTTTTAATGAATAACTAAAGGGAAATACGCGTTATACGATAATATATATCTTACCTGTTGTGCCTTGATACGTTGAACAAGTATGCGATCAAGGAGTGGAATTATAGCTTTTACGTTCTTGGTAGCTAATGCCTACTCATGATATCACGTCTTGTCATTAATATCAATAAAAGTTGATGAAAATTCTATTCTATTTAAAAATTTTCATAAACGCGTACCATTTTTATTATTATTCACCGTTAAAATGTTAGTGTTTCTAATACAACGGGTCGTCAAAAAACACAGAATTTCACTAAAAGATTTTTTTAAAAAAAAAAAATCTAGATATTGGTTATATCACTGATACAATTTCACCAATCAGAAAGTTTGACTTTAAGCAAAGAAAGATGAAGAAAGTTCTATATCATTCATATATTACGTTATTACGAAATTTTTATATAGAAATTGATGGAAATTTTCTTGATCACCCAATCAAAAATATCGATCAAATATTTTTTTTAACAAATTTTTTTTTTCGTTCCTGTTTATTAAAAAGTTTCGTAAAATAACTATCTCATAGTGAAAACGGTCAATATGCAGCGCGCCTCACAACTTTTCAATAAAGTTCCTTTTTCAAACTTGTCACCTTCTTTATCTATAGTTTCTAGGAGTTCTAAAAGACCTTTCCTATCACGATGTTATGCCACTCATAAAGAACTTAAATTTGGAGTTGAAGGTCGTGCCTCATTATTAAAAGGTGTTGATATTCTATCTAAGGCAGTAGCGGTTACACTTGGCCCCAAGGGACGTAGCGTGTTAATCGAACAGTCATACGGTAGTCCAAAGATCACAAAGGACGGTGTTACTGTAGCTAAAAGTATAACGCTTCAAGACAAATTTGAAAACCTTGGTGCGAGGTAATAAAGATGTTCTTTTTTGAGTTATTATGGATTTTTATGTATACGAATATTATTATCGTAAATAATATGATCCATTCTAGCTTATAATTAAAAAAAAAAATAAATACGCGTTCGTTTCGCGAAATTTTTATATATCATTAATTAATATTTATTTTATTTTTGATATCATTAGGTTAGTTCAGGATGTTGCTAACAAAACTAATGAAGTAGCAGGTGATGGTACCACTACCGCTACAGTTCTTACGCGAGCCATTTTTGTGGAAGGTGTAAAAAATGTTGCCGCTGGCTGTAATCCAATGGATCTACGTCGCGGAGTTCAATTGGCGGTTGATTCTATTGTAAAATTTCTTCGAGAACATAGTCGTGTCATTACTACAAGCGAAGAGATAGCTCAGGTATAAATATATATTTGCATTAAAATTAAGCTTTGAAAACATTATTTGTAATAACGATATATTTATCGTGCGAATTGTTATTAGGTTGCTACAATCTCTGCAAATGGAGACACGCATGTCGGTCAATTAATAGCCAACGCTATGGAAAAAGTAGGAAAGGAAGGCGTTATTACGGTAAAAGAAGGAAAAACAATTGATGATGAGTTGGAAATAACCGAAGGAATGCGTTTCGATCGAGGATATATATCACCATATTTCATCACTGATACCAAAACTCAAAAGGTTGAATTCGAAAAGCCTTTAGTTCTACTCTCCGAGAAAAAAATTTCAATATTGCAAGATATTCTACCAGCATTGGAAGCTTCAGCACAGCAACGTAGGCCACTTTTAATTCTTGCTGAAGATATTGATGGAGAAGCTTTAGCTGCTTGCATCTTGAATAAATTACGTGGCAACATTCAAATTGCCGCCGTCAAAGCTCCCGGCTTTGGTGATAACAGGAAGTCTATCTTAGGTGATTTGGCCATATTAACAGGTGGAACAGTTTTCTCGGATGAGCTAGACATCAAACTCGAACGCGCTACTCCTGATCTTTTCGGTTCAACTGGTTCTGTTACCATCACCAAGGAGGATACAATTCTTCTTAACGGTGAAGGTTCCAAAGATATGATTAATCAACGTTGTGAACAAATTCGCGCTGCTATTAATGATCCAACCGTTTCTGATTATGAGAAAGAAAAATTACAAGAACGACTTGCTAAGTTATCAGGCGGTGTGGCCGTTATCAAAGTAGGTGGATCCTCAGAAGTTGAGGTTGGCGAAAAGAAGGATCGTTTTGTTGACGCTTTAAATGCTACACGTGCAGCCGTCGAAGAAGGCATTGTGCCAGGTGGTGGTGTTGCCCTTTTGAAATCTGTAAAATGTCTTGATGAATTGAAACCTGTCAATTTTGATCAACAACTGGGTATAAACATAATTAAATCAGCGCTTCAAAAACCAGCAAAAACGATTGTAGATAATGCAGGTGAAGAAGGTGCCGTTATTGTTGGAAAACTTTTAGATAATCATGCAGATGATTTTAATTATGGTTATGATGCCGCCACTGGTGAATACGGCGATCTTATTTCACGTGGTATTGTGGATCCATTGAAGGTTGTAAGGACAGCACTTGTTGATTCTTCGGGTGTTGCTAGTCTTTTAACGACAACGGAATGCATAATTACTGAAGCTCCAGGTTTGTAATTATTATTCATATTGGTAAAAAAAAAAAAAAATTTAATTTTTATGCGTTCGTGTATTTGTAGATGAAAATAAGGGTGCTGCTGCTGCAGGTGGAATGGGAGGAATGGGAGGCATGGGAGGTATGGGTATGATGTAACGGGTAATTACCTCACTTGTATTTTTTTTGACATCGAAATCAAAGGAAAATTATATATTATTTTATTTTGGTTCAAATTTTTTTTTTTTAATTTTAATTAATTAGAATGAAACATATATAAGGGATGTGATAGCAAAAAAAAAAAAAAGAGTTAATTGATTTAAAAAACAAATTTCGAGTAATTAAAAATTATCAGGCATACATACGAGTTATAATTAATGCTTTATGAAAATTTTATATATGTTTATATAATGTGTTTATAATGTTTGTCATTAAAAATGAATTTGACCTACTTGTTAATTTTTTTCAATTTGTGTGGTTTGTAAATTCGATTACAGTATGTTTCAAATAAGAACGTGAAAGATCCTACATACTAATCGTGTTATGATTAAAGAGTCAATGAACAAGTTGACATATTCTTATAAAATAACTAAATTATTTTTATTTTCAGATAATATAAAAAATATTCTGAAAATTCTATTTACAACCTAATGTACATTAAAATGATGCATGCTATGAATTTTTTTTCCTTAATTTGTCATTATAATAAATAAATAAAAAAATAATTAATTATATAGAATGCAAGGGTGAATTAAGTAAAGTATTATTATTGTATTGGGAAGAATAAACATTTTCATATATATTTAATTCTTCCACGGAAGGAGCTGATGGTACAGGTGAAATAATTCCATCCCAAGGAATTATATTACTATTATTATCACCATGATGACTATGCTGTGAATCTGGTAAACTAATTGATAAACATGAAGGATCAATTGAATTATTTGTTGAAATAATAGTCCATTCACTTGAACGCCTAGCATGGTGAAGAGGAGAGGAATTAGGGATAAGAAGACATGAACCTAAAGTATTTTGCATATCAATTTGTCTATTATTGGTATCAAAATCGTTACTTTTGGTAGTACCTATTACCAGTGGTATATTAAAATAACCATTATATTTTCCTAATTTTCTCCTTAGATTAGCATAATCATGTTTCCCTATTCTACTTGAGGATTCAAATATAGTTTTCTTAATAGTTAAATCTACATTAACTTCTAATAAATATGATACGAAAAAAAATTTCCCATTACTGATTGTTGGCGGTATATCATTTGGTATTGTTAATTTTGTATTAATCATAGTTTCAAGTGAATCTGGATCAATTAGAATAGGCGAAACCGTCGATGCTACTACTTCACGTACAACTTCTTCTTTACTATGTATCATCAATCAAAAGGAAAATCAAATTAATTTTTCATATAAAGAAAGAATAGATCGAATAAGGAAAGTCAAATACTACTAACCCATCCCTAAGTATAATTTTTGTTCTTCTATATAAAGCTATAAGCACGCCTTCAAGATTCTTAATCGGAACAATATGGCTTATATGAATACGAATCGGAAGCGATTCACCTTTAAAGATCAATTTAGATTATATATATATATATATAATGAAAACATTTTTCTAAAAAAAAAAAATATATATTTCCTTACCTCTCATGATTGCCCCTTTTGGAATGTCAACAATTGTATGAGCTAAACCATGCCTTTTCTTTTTTCCCTTAACTTCAATTTGAAAAGGTTTAATTATTGGTGGAGGATAATTTGATATATTTATGTGATCTAATACTTTAATCTCTGTAAAACATTTCGGCAATAACGATTCTGATAACCATGAAACTGTTTGTATTGTTGCTTTTAAGGTATACGTAATTGTGTATCCAGAAAACTATAATATACACACATAATATATATAACATAAACCAAATGTTTTAAAAATTAAATATAATGGAAGAGGAATAATAATTACCGTACAAGACGATGGTATATCATCAGTTGGTAAATTTAATGAGAATGAAAAGCGTTGATATTTTTTTCGTGCTCGTGCAAGTTCTTCTACTGGTATTTCCTTTTCAAAAAGATGAAAATCATGACCTTTAGTTTCCAACTTTACTTTTCCTTTGAATTTAAGTCGAACGGCCGACTTTTTTACGGTTTTGGAACTTTGTAAAATAATAACTCCTGAATTTGAATTTCAAAAAACCTCGAGTGAGTAAAAGAAACGTTTTGCTAGTTTGGTGATAAATGACATACCACGAACTTCTTCACCAGGAAAACGTTCTCTTGTGGGTTCTTCAAGTTGAATATAAAAATCAGAAAAGTATGGTGCAAGAGCCTGCATTTGATATCTGTGAAAGAATGAACGCGTGTTTTAAATTTCCTGAAAATCGAAAGCAGAAAAAAAAAGAATAAATAAATAATGAGAGGGATGATTTCCTTTTTACATCATTTCATTATTTGAAAAAAGATCTCCAAAAATCATCATTATGAAAAAGTTAAAATGGGGTTAAAACAATTGTTGATCTGTTTGGTTTATTTATATATATATATATATCTGATATCTTTTTTTTTTTTTTTTAAAAAAAAAAAAAAAAAAAAATTCAGACTTTTAATAATATTATGGTTTTAATATTCATCATAATGGTAAATTTTAATAAAAGTACATTTATTGAAATTATACTTATAAAGCATTCTCTTGTCTTTCTAATTCTTTTATTTTGAATGTTACAAAGGGTATATCGGGATCCGGAAAGAGTCATATTGGAAATTTAATTTCACATGAACTTGATGCCCCTTTCATTGAAGGGGATGATATACATCCACCTTCCAATGTTCAAAAAATGTCATCAGGGATTCCACTCAATGACCAAGATCGAGAGATTTGGTTAGATGCTATTAAAACGGAAATCATAAACATATTTAATTCATCTTCAAGTAAACCATATTTTTTTATAACCTGTTCCTCGTTAAAATTTCAATATCGTGAATTTCTTAGAAAAGTTAATAATGATGATCTAAAAATTTGGTTTATTTATTTAAAAGCAAGTAATGAGGTATTAAAGCAAAGAATGTTAAATAGACAGAATCATTTTATGAAGGAAAATATGCTGGAATCACAATTTGAAACTCTCGAAGAACCTAAGGATTCTGAAGAGAAAATTATTATTATTGATGCTAACAGGGAAGATAATGAAATTAAAGAAGAAATTCTTAAAAAAATAAAAGTTCTTGATTTATAAATTTTTAATGAGTAAATAAAATTTCAAATCATCATAAATTTTTTATGAATAAAAGATTTTCAAGATACATAAGTATTTAATTTATAAATATTTTAAAATTAAATTTTTTTTTTTTATCAAGTTTGCTTTAGCTGTTTATGGTATAAATAAATAAATAGAGCTTAGACCCAGACTATAACATGATTCATGAAATTCATCAATGCATCGTTATATTATTAGTCTACCAACCATTTTGTCATTTTGTGATGAAGATCCAGATTTCGTCTTTGTTCATTTTCGGGTTATTATTCATCCTTCGAGACGAGATACCTCGAATTCGGTTAGATAATCTCCTTTTAGAGAAGATCTGAAATTTAGTATTATATATTTTTGCTTTGTCAAGTTTTAAAAAATTTAATATTAAAAACTTTAAACAAAGTTTGCTTTATTCTCCATAGTTAGATTAGAGCCCTTTGAGTGAAGATTGGGGCAGAGATTTACAGCCTCTTTTAAAAAAAAAAAAATAATAAGGTAGATCGGATTTGACGCGGACGAAACCCCCCTAAATAAATATATATATATATATATAAATTATTTATCAGATCAATTGACATATCTTTTTTTAATCGACAAATGGAAGTCAAAATATATTTGTTATATAAAACACCTAATTGAGGAATTTTTAAAATGTTTAATATTTGTTAATATAAATATACTTGCAGTATAAATTTATTGTAAAAAAAGAAAACTAGTTTACGAACCTATATTGGAATTGAACCACCTAGTAATTCTAAAACTTCTATACATAATTGATTTTTTTTCCAGATTTTTATCGATAAAAACAGAATGAAAAAATAAAAAGGAAGCATTGAGATGAATCAGGCTAAGCCACAATGACATCGCGTTTTACTAAGGACGCGTGATATTACCCATTTTGGCACATGACTTTGATAATACAAAATTTTTTTTGTCAAATATTATCAAAATAATACGAAATAATGACAAATCTTTTCTTCTTCTCAAAGAATTTAGGAAAATGATTACTTTTATCAATATCCTTAATCAAATAATTGATTGTATTATTAAACCCGTATTTAACAATGTGTATTGTCCCCAGATAACAATTAAGGATTTTCAAACAATACAGAATACGGTATAGTTAAACGTGCTATTTTAACTTAAAAGCACTCATGAAAAATAATCCGATCCTTTATTTGTGTATAAAAAGCCGAATATTTTTTTTTGTCATGAACTGAGCAACTTTCTTCTTAAAAAACTTTTTTAACAGCACACATCACAAATATCGGATCCTTTCGGTTTTAACTGTTATATTTCCGTTTTTCTTCCTTTAAAAAGATTTCTCTCCCTTTTTTTTTTCTTTGAACAATGACCACTCGCGTAAAACTTCGAGCAAATATGCCAACCATTTATAATCAAAATAAAGTGAGAGTACCAGATCCATTTCTTGTGGAACAAGTAATTAATTCTATAGGACAAGAAACTCTCGAAGTGATCTTACGACAAGTATTTTTACCTATAAAGGAACTAATCGCCCCATTACCAAAAAAATTACGCTCAAATAAAATTCCTAGACCTCAAAATCATTTTTTAATTTATCGAAGGGATTTTCAAGCCAAATTAATTTTTGAAAAGGGTTCACAATTCGCCTCAAAATTAGATTACGTTTCAAAAGATGCTTCAAAAAGTTGGAGTAAAATTTCTACCGGTATTAAGAATGTTTATATTTGTTTGGCTCAATTGGCCAAAAAAGTTCATGCAGCGACTTACCCGGGATATGTTTATCAACCGAAAAAAAGGATCGAAAGAATTAATCCTATCGCTATTGCTTCTTCTTTTAAAGTTTCTGGTCTTTCAAATATTGATTCTCTTACTATTGATTATTCAAATTCACTTGATCCCTCTTTACCTATTCTCACTTCACCTGCTGATATTTACAATAATTATTATCAACCATGCTTTTATGACACCACTTCCCCTATTTCACCAAATTGTGCACCTTTTAATGATACAGAACGGGAGAATTCATTATCGGAAGAAAGTTTCACCTCGCATACGACTAATGAATCTTCTGGTTCCCGTTTTCTTTTACCTCAACTTGAACATTGTATTCCTATTTACATAACCGATCCTTATGACCGTAAAATGGTCAATCAATTACCCTTGGCATTTTAATCATTTTCACAAAATTACAAATAAAAGAAATTCATATCATGATTGTTATTTTGACAGCTGTCAAATTTTTTTGATTACATATCGTTAACAGGCTGCTAAACTGGAACTGATTGTTTAGATGTCATGTGACAATAATTAGGGTTGCGATAGATATTTTTTTTTTTCTGATTATCAATATATAGATGATATCACCCATATATATATATATATATTGCTTTATTTTTTTATTTGTAGTTAATAAATATAATTTGTTTACTTATTTTTTATTTTATTTTATTTTTTTTTTGTTTATCTGATTTCAAAGTATATTTTTTTGTTATTTTAGTCTTATTTGAAGAAATTGCTATCTAAATACTCTATTGAAACTTTTTGATAATTACAAATCACTATTAATTCAAGAAAAAAAATTATCCTTTATATAATTAAGTTTCGTAAAAATATTTTGTTTTTCTACCATAATAATTGTGAACGTTGTTTTGCAATATCTGTTTAAAAGAAATCATTAATAATTCATCATACATAATAAAAATAAAATAAAAAAAAATAATTTCAATTAAAATAATCGTACCTATAACTCTCCATCCGGTAGTTACTGTATTTGACAAACTATCTTCTTGTTTTGTCATTGCACAAGCATATGAATTATAGTCAATCTGATCTTCACGTCCATATTTTATTGCATTTGTTTTTCGGTCACGAAATAATATTACTTCTTGAGTATTAAAAGACAAAACTAATACTGGAATACCGTTCTCAAGAATTTTGGCTGTCGCCAACTATGTTAAAACCAAGAAAAATTAGTATCATAATCATAAAAATCGGTTAAACATTTAATTGGTCATACAATGAATACCTCTATATCTCTTATATCAAGAATTCTTGAATCACTTATAAGACCTTGTTGTATTTGTGCTTGGATACCATGCGTTAAAACACTAAATGTCTATATAAATATAATAATAAAAATTCCTTTTGTTGGATTACGTAAATATCATTAACCGAAAGATTTCTTTAAAAAAAAACCCCGCACCGCTTCAGAACACCATTCTTTTAACGTGCTTGTATCTCCTTTTAAATGCGCTTCCATTAATTCGGGAATAATATATTCTCTTGCTTCTTTCATAAACTCTTCTAAATTAAACCGCGGATCAATCATTTTTATCTGTGATATAGCTTGAGCTGTTTCGTTTTCCTCAAAAAGCGATCCTTATAATAATTTAAATAAACTTTACAAATTTTTCGTCATAAAATAAACATATCAAAATATAATTAAATCTAATCATCTACATACCCAGAGTATCCGAAATACGATCAGTGAAAGCTCTGGTATATGCAATAAACATATTATCGCTGTCCTCATAATTCCTTTTGATATTAAAAATTCCTTAATGTATTAAAAAAATTGATAAAAATAACATGACCTATTAATAACCTTAAAGAGCTCTGCATAATCTATGTTATGTGTATAAAAAAAAACAGATATATTACCTTGAACGACTGGATTGGTATCTTTAAACTTTTTCCAACTTTCCTTCCATGCAGAGTCTTTGTGCAGTACAATAGATGATCCAGCTCTATTTATTCAGGATTTAAATTATAAACTAATGAGCATAAGAAACCATATATAATCTGATCAATAAATTAAATCAGAAAAGCAAAAAAAAAATTATATATTTATATTTTTATAATTATGAAGGAACCTTACTCTGGATCTAATTCAACTACTCTTCTTGATACACCTTTTGATTTAATGGCTTTCTCTTTCATCTTTCTCCTTGTCTCCTTGTCAACGAACCCACCATAAACCATTGAATCGTTACCGACAGTTTCCTTCAAAGTATCACGAATGTTCGTGTAAACCTTTGTTTGTCTTATTGGTTCAGTTGTGGTGGATACTTTGTCGGAAAATTGTGAAATCTTAACGAAAGAAATTATAAAACGCGTTAAATAATCGAAAACTCCCGAATTCTTTTTATATCTTGAGACGACTAACCTTTTCTTTACTTCCTTTGACAAATGGAGTTTCACCAACTCTCTCGATTGTTTCCGATACCGTTGATCCAACCTTCTCGGCAGACTTTTTAATTTCATCCATAGACTTTTTAAGTTTCTCTGATCCTAGTGTTGTGGTAGTTTCTGCGCCTTCCTAAAAATCAATTCATAAAGTAATAAGTTCGAACGAATCGAAAAGTAAATTGAACAATTGAGATTTAATAAGTATATAGTAAACAGTTTTGGTTGTTAAAATCAAATATTCATACTTTAGCTTTCGTATAAACTTCTTTAGCCTTTCGTAATGCGTCAGATTCTCCAAATTGTTCCGCCTGATCTTGTAATAATTTCACATTTTGTTGAAGTTCTTTGTTTTTTTGTACTTGTTCTTTTATAGTATCAATAAATTTTCTAAAAGGAGTTGTATAATATCGTGGTTGTGTAAAACGATTATTCTGTCGAATTAATAAACTTGACCTTGCTTTCAAGGTATTAGAAAATGTAAACATTACGTTTCTTCGTAAGGCAATCGAGCTAAATATACGTTGGGAAGCCATTATATTAAGTGATTGTTAAAAAAAAAAAAAAAAAAAAGGAAGTAATAAAATAAAAAATAGTAGAAAAAGTAAAGTAGAAAAAGAAGAAAAACTTTTTTTTTTAAATTAGATTAATTTTTTTTTTTTTTGAGATTTTGATAAACCAACAAATTTTTTTAGATTTTCGGATCAGTTTATGTAGATCATGCATAAACATAAATTACATACAAAAACAAAATTCACACTTTCTTTACTTGCCTTTTTTGCCGTTTAGATTTGAATCATTATAATGTCTTTGCAAGCTGCAGATCTCAACTCTACACCACATTCTTCTTCCACTTCTTTAAACACAACGTTAGTTGAAGCTCCTACACCACAGAATCCAACTATCGCTCTTGAAAAGTATAAAAAGAAAGATGCTGCCAAAGGTAACGATTGGCAGGCAGATTACAAAATAATTAATACATTGTTAATCGATTTTTATTTTGCACTTTAGTCATAGTTCGTTTTCGAGCAATAGGAAATGCCCCTATTTTAAAACAAAATTTGTATAAAATCAGTGCCTCCAATAAATTCCAAGCTGTCATTCAATTTTTGAGGAAGGAACTTAATTATAAAGCTTCCGAACCATTGGTAAGAAAAGAATTTCTTGAAAAATATATTTGAATTTGACCATATTAAATGTTAATGGTTCAATATCTTTGCATTATAAATAGTTCTTGTACATAAACAGTGCATTTTCTCCTGCTCCAGATGAAACAGTTGCCAATTTAGTCAAGGTATCGGATATTTTTTAAAGTATTTCTTTAATGATATTTTTAAAGTATTCTAAATTCCATTTTATCATTTTTTTTTTTTAGTGTTTCAATACAGATGGACATTTGATAATAAATTATTGTACAAGTGCAGCTTGGGGTTAACCATTATATAACAACTCTAATATTGCATTTTAGAAATAGTAATTTCGCATTTATTTTCTTCTAATAATAATATGTATTTCTTATAATGGATTATTAATTTATAATTAGAACGCGTGAATCAAGATTTGGAGATAATAAGCGTGTCGATAGTCTATTTGGAAGTTGTATTTTTGATTTTTACATATAGATAATATATGGTTTCAATTGTAAGTAATGAATAAAATCTGATTGATTTGCTCTGCATTAATTTTTGTGTAATTTTTAATGGAATTTTTAGTTAACTTTTTTTTTAAAAAAAAAATTAAAGAATTAAACAATATAAAATGAAAAAATAGGTGATCATCAATACATATATTAAATTGTTTTTTATGATGCACTTGGCATGTAATGAAAAATGAATGTGTAATGAAAAAAAAGAAAATGAATTTTATGGGGAAGAATGTATTAAAAATGCTATATAAAAATAATAATAAGAAGAAAACAAATAACGCAGCAAGAATGTCTTCAAAAAGAAAAAAAAGGGAATATGAACCTTTGAAATATATTTCAACAATTCAAATTCTCTGACTGTAAGTAAAGAGAAATGAATGGCTGTGAAACAAAAACTTTAATAATAAAAATAAATACAGAGATATATAATTCAATAATAAAAATACCTTATTTCATTCATTAAAATTTGCCAAACATTATGTAATTGAAAAAAAAAGAAATAATTATAAAAAAAATTAAATACAAAGAAATATAATTTCGCTCTTTAGAGTGTAATTTTTTTTCTAGAACTACGATAAAAAAAAAAATATATTAATTTTAAAAAATCAAAGAAAAATATTTGTTACCATTACTTTTTACGACAAAATACCCGAATTCGAGAATTTTGATGTGACTCTATAAAAGAATTTACATTACAGATTTACATATAATTTAAAAATAATGTTCAGTATAGTTCAAGCTCAAGCTATTTATGAAGAAAAGTTAATTAGAACCGATAAAAAATTCAGCAAGTTAAAGACAATAATAATGATTAATAATAAATAACCACTGGAAAGAAATAAAAAAAAAGGATACAAATAAAAAAGAGTTTCGTCGCGGATCCCTGAAATTAAGTCCTTGCGGATTATATAAAGTTATATTTTCATTATCTAGAAATTTACATATTTCTTCCACTTTCTATTTGAATATAACATCAGATTAATTTAATATTTAATTCCATCCAAAGTCGCAGATAAAGGAACAAAATTCTTCCTTACCCGATCGAAATGCGACCGTAAACACAGCGTTGATGTATATATCGTTAAGCAGGCAAGACAATTATCGAACATATTATATCTTGGATTATGAGCCTTAATTAACATTTCATTTAAAATATTTATTGTCTGTTGGAATCGCCTCGGATTGACCTGAATTTGTAAAACGAAATTAAAAAGATACTTTCGACATTCCCCATAAATATAATAATAAATAATTTACCCGTCCATCAATCTCTAAAGGAAAAGCCGTTTGAAACTGACACAGTTCTCCACCAGTGTAATCTCTGTCTATTCGAATTATTTGTTTAGGTGTGACTACTCCGGAAGTGTTTAAATTCGATGATAATGTATCAAGTTGTTCAGGACTTATTGACGAACTTGAACTTTCCATTTCTGAATGTCTTTTAGCCAACATACCGTCTTCAACAATCTCTCTGCTTTTTGGGGAGACGTTTGTGTCTGAGTAAAGAGTGTGAAATTGAGAGTCCGACGAGCTATGGTTTTCGGGTTGAAAGAACATTGTCTTTGACTTATACGGACTTGAAGAAGTGGTAGAAGTCGTTTGTGAAGTGAGTATATGGTCTATCTTTAGCGCAGCTTGTTGCGCTTTTGGTAACTCAAGTGAGCTACTAGTTTTTGCTCCAACCTCTGTTGTGCTCGACTGACTGGTGTTACCAATGACAGCGTTCTGCGTTGAGGTTGTTGCTACCATCGACGAGTAGGTATTACCGTCCTCCTTTTCACCCTCAACTTGAGTTATCCTCTTCCGTGATGGAGCTACCTCTTCCTCTACCACATTTTTTTGTTTATCGTATTGGCCAACCTTGTTGTCCATTTAATGGAAGAAAGATGAAGAAAGTAACTCTTGCCAAGAATCAACTTTGCATACTCAGAAGAATAGTAAAAATCGGTTCTATTCGTTCCATAAAGACTAACTAGGATCTCGAAAAATTTTGTAAGTTATGGAATCTTGACACAAATGCAAGGCTACGTCACTCATGCTGCAAAAAAATTTAATTGTCCATTCCGCAACATTTGTACAATCAAAAACGTCCGCATAATTTCGCGGGAAATTTACATTCTATTATTCCTTTTTGTATCTATTCTAGAAAGATAATACTAATATACAAATTCTAAAACAAAAAATATTTTACTTGAAAAAAAAAACTGGTATTTTATTTATTTTAAACGAGAAATTTATATTGTAAGCAGGTTTGAATTTTAAAATTTTACCTTCTGGGAAGATCATAAATTATTTGTAGCACAAATTTATTTTTCAAGTTTTTATTTTTTTTTTTTAAAAAAAAAACACCAAACAAACCTTTATGTTTAGCTTTTTTTTCTAAATCACTTGTTTAATCATATTTTTGTAAATTCAGAAACAAGTATCAGTTATTTGATAGAGGGGTTAGAATTTCACCGAGTTTCTATCAGTCGCACATGATCATGCCTATAAATAAATAAACTATTATATTATATTTAGTATAAAATTATACAATTGTAGTTTATTTATAGCTTAATATAAAAATATCAGCAAGCATGTTTAAAAAACCATGATCGTACTTCGTCATCAATACCTTTTAAGATACAGGCATTGTTTTGAATTGCAAGGTTAACATCTTTTAACTTACTATATAAAACCTTGAAAGAATCTACTTGACACAAGCTTTCGGTTCAAACTCCAAACACAAAATTTTATTTTTAAAAAGGTAAATTTTCATCTTTTTTATCTTTTTTCACGTCGACTCATTTATTTATAATTAATTGTATTACACGCTAAAATATTCTATATGATTTAAATTATCAGACATTCCAATAATAAATTACCCATCGAAAGGAATCCATTGTTGAACTATTCAAATTAGGATATGAAAATCCCCAATCCCTGTCTAATGCCTTTTGTACAATTCGTCAAGAAATATGACCAAGGATTCGTTCTTTCTGTATGATCTTTAGGCCTATTTATTATATTTGAAGGTTGTACCAATATATTAAAGTTAATCCCTATTCGTACATAACCATTTCTTTTTGTTGCGTAACTAATTTGCTATAGCCAACCAAACATCATTTTGTATTAATCCGAAATTGGGTTTGCGATCTAATATAATTACAATGTGAAAACACTAGTTCTAAACTAATTGTAGAAATGATATATTCATGATTTTTGTCGCCCAATCATTTTGCCATGTTAAAAAAACTGTCATCAGTCTTACTTGTTATAATAATTTCCTGCTAAATAAAATAACTAAAACCGTAACTATTATTTTTTTTAAAAAAAAAAGACCTAGGAATCTAAAATTTATCATAAAATGAGGTGAGTGCTGAGAAAAAGGAATAAATGGTAAAAAGATTATTGAACCAACAATAATTTAACATATTAAGCTCGAAAATCGTTCGATATGGTTTCATTCCGAACCAAAAAAAAAGGAACCGTACCGAAATTTCGGATTTATCCGAAAATTTCAGATTAGATGTTTGTCAAGGAGTAGATTTTGATTTTGAAAAGTTTTCTAAAGAGACGTTACAAGATTTACGAAAAGTTGATTTGGAAACACCAAACTTTTCAAATGAAGCAAATGATATTATAAATGAATTTATTCAAATGTATCATTCATTAAAGGCTCATTTTAATGTAGATTTAAGTCATCCAATTACATTTCC